ACCTTCCTGTTCTTCTCCTAATATTCATCCAAATGGGCAGCCAAATGACAGCAACCAAAACCGGCGCACGAATGTACATGGTTAATGTTTGTTCTAACTGAACTGGACTGAACTGTCGTACAAATCACCGTCATCTTGGTAACAAAGAAAAAGGTCTAAGATATACTGGTGGATGGAATACTTCCAGGTTGTCTAAACCATAGAAAGTTAACTTTCCAGAGGGTTTCACAGTCGGCGCTTTTGGTTAGCGAACGCTTGATCTGCAAGAAAGTGAAGTGTCTGAAAGCCGCAAACTATTGGGGCCAGTTCATCGAATCATTCGCCATTCGGATGGTGCCAAACATCTAATGTGCTCACAACACCTCGAAGCCGAATCAACCCGGTTACCAATGCTATATCCAGGAACGTGAGTGTGCGGTTCTCAGACCAAATCTTGGTCAGCCTGGAATCCGGGTTTTCCAGTCAAAAAAGGTAAACTTCCAGCAGTTACATTCCCGGATGTTGGTCTTTCGTCCTGTCATCTTGGTGGGAAAACACTTCCAGTACATACTAGCGAGAAGGGCTTCCTCAACAGGGGCTCTATCAGACGCTTGGTGTTATTGGAGCATTTCGTTAGGCGCGAGGGAAGGATGACTGGTCACGGTTCAAAATCCCCAGACCCGACCATACCGGGACTTTCGGATATAAAACAAAGGTTATCGATTGCTTCCACCAAATCTAAGGCGATAAAATACTTCGGAAGCTCGACTTCAGTGTGCAGATGAGTAGAGGGGCTGATCCACAGTTATTCGAAACGAGAGTTAAGGTAGAGAACCACATAAAGCTGTAACAGGTCAGGTGTGATATTGAGCCGCGTAAGAGCGACTCTGACTTACTACCGACATTGGCACGATTCAAACATCAAAACTTCAGTGATCCCAGTCGGTCTCTCATACCACTAATAACCGGGACTGGCATTATTTAACTTTGGTTATCAGACGAGATATTTCCACTTGGTTGACTTTTATGATACTCGCGTTTTGAAGAGAATCAATGGCAGACGCTTGTATAATACTGAAATACATTTTGTGGAGAATAGACTTATGAATAAGTAAAAAACCTTGATCTCTTTGAATTAGAAAGGGCACTGGCTCGTATGACCTTACTGTCTGTCTACCCTTACACCGCAACAAGTGGTTACCATGTCTTCAGATGTACACGTAGATATCAGTCGAAACGTGCATCACCCGATTCTTCCACCACTTCTGCCGGCAAAAAGTTCCCTTATCGAGAGACGGAATAACAGTGGTAAACCAATAGATTGTTAGTTCTGAAGAGCCATGGAATGCTGCGGAATGCGATCGTCTTCCTTTACGAGGGACAGCAAAAGCAACTCCGGACTGCAGTCGCATCATAGAGTTTGATGTAGACACTTATCAGTTCTACGGTGACTACAGAAGTGGACCCAGGACCTACAGCCTTCAAACTTAACTAATGTCACGCATCCCATGAACAAGCCTGATTACATAACATTTAGTCCGCTGCAACTTATACTGTGTGCGGATAGGTCAACAGCTCCGTACGTGAGGCTCAAACCTACGCGAGACACTGCGAAAGACAGGCGCCAAAAGACCGTTTCATCACTGGTAGCAGACAATAGGGAGCGACGCATACCCTATCGGTACGTTCCGCGGTCTTTAACGAAGATGATATCCATCCGATACAGATTGGAGTACCACGTACCTTGAACTGGTTTCGGGTCATCTTTGCAGTATTTACAAGAATTCATCTTGTGAATTATAATTTTGGTGGTCAACGAGTGGCAGCCGATCATTAACTTCATTACTTCATCCAATCAAGATGAAATAACCACATTAGATAATACCAGTACATGATTTACTATCAGATCGCGCAATATTTCCATTGATGCAGAAGAGAAAATTGGAAACGCGAAGAAATTTCTTTTCGGTGGGTCAGTTCAAAACTTTACTTATATAGTTTCATTAGCCAACAGATTAGTAAAAGGCTTAAGCTGGTATTAAATGAGTGTGTATGCAAAATTTTCAGCTGACAGCATGCGAGCGTGATAAATGTATAGGGAAAAGCAAAGAAAATGTGTTAAGTGGGCATGAGATGGAATGTGTTAGTCAAGAATGAATGAGGCAGGCGTGAAAGTGTGGGAGAAAAAAAACAGTAAATGACAATATTACACCTGTCTCATTCATTCCGGACTAACACACTTCATTTGTACCCACTTGACACTTTTTACTTTGCTTTTTCGTATCCATGTATCGCGGCCCCATTGCCTGTTGCGAAATGAAAATTAAGCACACACCCTCTTTTCACTCTGTTCTGTACCCCAATTCACCTACCCCCTATTATTGTTATTGTTATTATTGTTGTAGCGTAGGCACCATGCTTGTCAAAAAACCGGCGGTACATATATATACCTTTAACACCAGCTTAGGCTTTGTTGGAACTATATATGTGAATGAAAACCATTAGATCTAAACTCATGACAGATATCTTGATTGTGAAAAGAATGATCACAAAACATTGATAAAATCTTTAAAAAAATCACGTCCTTAGAAGTGCATGAGATAAATAATTCCAGGAGTTTGGAGGGTGCGGGATGGAATGAGACAGTATTAAATGAGCAGCTCCAAGTTCCCAGTAAGTCTGGGAAAAGGTGGGGTGTGTGTGACAAGGTGGCAACCAAAGGCAGACAAACTAAAACCTTCATAATCACTGTGAGAGGAAAAAAGGACATCTGGAAGTAAGTGTGATGCACTTACCTCACGGATTAGTTGTTTCCGGATGCGTGTTTTAACTTCCATTGCAAAATCCAACCATGTCCAGACACAGTTGTGATACTCCAGTGTGGGGATGTACAATTGAAATCCCGTAACATCGGTCAGATTTTTCTGTTTCTCACCCTATCACAAGGAAATGGGAATCCGGATAAGCAGCTCCTTGGTATCCGAACACTTTCTGGTCTGACGATTTAGCAATAGGAGCAAGCTGAGTAACTGTGCATTCAGTTGCTAATCTGTATAATACAATGACCCTACAAAGAATACTATTTCTCATTAGTTCATGTAACAACACAGACTTTTGGCAGTTACTGTAGACCAGTAATTTTATTTAGATCCAAATTTTCGGCGAAAGGATCCAGCAACATATGAAGTGATCTGGGAAATGAACCAGGAAAACTGTACGGCAAGCTTTGCACTTTTGACCG